GGGGGGGGGGAGCGACAGACAAGATTAGCAGAAACAAAGGGAACAAAAAGCAAGTGAAAACAAAAATGGTGCCCGGAGAAAAGCCTTGAGCTGACACTAAAAACAAAGTATGCAGCACCCCGATATGTCGTGAGACAGTCCAAGTGTCTCCAACAAAACAAATCGAGCTAGGTGACACGCTGTACACTTGGGTTTCCAACTTGAGGCCGCGGAAGTTATCAGGAGTCCAACAAGTTTTGCAGCTCGTCGCAAATGGAAAAGCCTCTCCCAAACCGTTCAACTGCATCTCCCACAATGTTTTTTGGACACGAAGCCTCAGAGAGCTCCGAACTTACATGAAGTGGGCCGGGCGGGGGCATGCCGGGCCAACGACGCCGGGCCAACGACGCCGATAAAACAACAAACACGGGACCAAAGATGCCGGAGGACATGCTTCCAGCGATTAGGAACTCTCCCTGTCCCTCCCCCCACCCCCCCACCCCCCCCCTCTCTCTCTCTTGGTCTGTCTCTCTCTATCTCTCTCATGTCTCTCCGGTTCTAGCTATCGAATCCCCCATCATTCTGCCTGCAACAAAAAGCGTGTACGTCCCGGTGAAGCCACACCCCGCAAAATTTCATCGCACCTCCCGGTCGTGGTCCATGAGGAAGTCCACCTCCAGCAAGAACTCTCTCCAAACCTCGTCCGTCGTCTCGGCGGGCGTTACCACGTACCGAACGCCTCTCCTCGCGTTGAAAACCGCCTCCGCGAACGGGCAAAGCCGTAGCTTCACCACCACGTCTCGCACCCACGCTTTCGCCTGGGCGCCACGTTGCATGAGTGTCGAGCAGCGGCAATGTTGGTGCGCCGTTGTAGACGACGGTCATTTTGTAGCCGTCGTTGCCAACCCCAATTGGCCGAGATTTCACTAATGGTACAAGAACATAGCCGTGAGCCCTTTCCATCAATTTCTGCGTGGGCACCCTCTCAAGCTTTGTCCCATCTTATTTTCACCCCCCGAAAGAATTTCCCCCCACTCCGGTGTTTGCCATCGGGATTGGGTTTTCGTCGCTTGGCAACGACGTTGCAAAACAAGCCGCCCCCCCCGGTGTTTCCCCCCCTGGTGTTTACGATCGGGGTTGGGTTTCGTCGCTTGGCAACGACGTTGCAAAACAAGCCGCCCCCCCCCGGTGTTTGCCATCGGGGTTGGGTTTTCGTCGCTTGGCAACGACGTTGTAAAACAAGCCAATTCACTTCGTGAACTCGGCAACCAGGTTACCGGTTTTCTTTTACCTCCGGTATTTTTTTTGGCTGTAACCATGAATGGTGGTCGAGTAGATCGTGTTGTTCTGGGTCGAGAACCCTCACTCCGCGCAAGGGGAATGATCGCACCACGTTGTG